TTCATATAACCCATGCATTTTTATAATAAAAGCAAGAAGTAAAAATAATAACTGAAGTTAAGTGAAGTGTAATCATTTGTTTTCTTGTAGATGCATAATGATAAATTCCATTTTATGAAATTCTACAGAAAGATGATAAAGTCCTATCAGATGCAGATATATCAGTGATCTGAATTTCTCCCTCTGACAATAGTATCTTGAAATAAATGATAGAATCATAGAACTATGCGAGAAAAGGTTAGTCGTGTACATCTTTAACATTCTGGCGTGTTTGAAACCCCTGTTTGAATCTTATAACTTATACGTATATATGTCTTCACCAGATTAGACACTTAATAGTTAAATGACAAAATGATTCAATGCTAAATTAAACGAATGCAACTATTATCTGTTATTTTCAAACACATTCAAAGGTAATGAAGTTAAAAATCCTGTAATTTCCTGACAATTTGATAAACAGAACGCATCCTGGATATAAAGCCGGAATTCACTCGTATCTTAGTATTGTCGTAAAACTTCCGGTTTTAATTTCGTCTTTAAAATCGAAAGAAACGTTATCGATGTCTGAGCAATGTACCATTTTAGTCATTAAAATCATTCCAATTTTAAACTGCTGTATTCCATTAACTGTTCTTGAACGTTTTTAGAATAACGGTAAGAAAATTCATGAAGTAAATGCGATGAAACAGTCAACATAAGTTCGTTGATGCTATGAATCTAGTGTGAATAATTTCGACAGTTTGAAAAAAGGGACCCAACTTTTAAGTCATCTCAAATGACCGAAATTGTGTAAAAAATTTCGGGATCCTTAGATAGAACTACGCGAAAATAGAAGTTAGTCGTGTATACCTTTAACATTTCGGCGTGTTAAAAACCCCTGTTTCAACCTTATAACTTATAAATCAAAAATGAGAATTCAGATTTCATTCTTTTATTCTTTCAAACTTTAATTTTGATTTTAGTTGTTTTAAGATTTCTTTCTTTGGGAACTACTTATATGGGTCAAGTGAAATGACCGAGTTATGATCAGTGCGATTGATTACAGAACCGGTAACAGGATTAATCATTCCCTTAAAAGGTTATAGTCATTAAAATCATCCAGAAATTAATAACAAAATGATTTTATGTAAAAAATTTGAAATAGGAGATTGGGTTGATTTTTGAATAACATCTATTCCAACAAAATATGTGTATTCAACGAGCAAAAATATCATGTAGTATATGCCCCCCTCCGACACGCATCAGTGCAATAGGTCGAGTTACGTTCCGATAGGTTGTCTATGTCGAGTTGTCTCATTTCATAGCAAATCTCTACTATGAGTGCAAGACTCCGTGAAGGTTAAAAATATATTGGCAATTATTTAATTTACCAGATACGCTCCAGACAAAAATTGTTGAGACTTATAATGATTAATTTCATAAAACCACTATAAAAGTCGCATTCAAGAATATCACTATGTATATTCATGTACATGAGTACAATGGTAAAGGTATTAAGTCTTCATGTTGTTACTGGAATGCGCATGTGTCAAAGTCTTGTAACAACATGTCGTAAATATCTTGTCTAAAGTAAGGTGTTGTTACCCGTTTTTTTTTTTGTTTTTTTTTGCGTTTTTGTTTTTTTTTTAAGTGCCGAAAGCTTTATTCACGCAGCACAAGCTGAAGCTAACGTTTTAATTAGATTGAACGCTTCTGCATGTTTACACATCTAACACAGTTTTAGTGCATCAAAACGAATCGACAACGAATAGAAGAAAAAATATTTCGAAAAATGTTCATCGAGTAATTCATGAATGTGTTCATTCATCCTTTGGTCATAATTAAGGATTGACGAAATACGGTAACTTTAGTAGTCAAATTGCTTTAGATTTACCAAATATGTTAATATAACATGTAAAAATAAAGAACTGAGGTATGATTGCCAATGAGATGACTATCAAAATCTGAATAAAGTGGATGTAAGCAATTATAGGCAACCGTACGGCTTTCAACAATGAGAAAAAACCCATACCGTATAGTCGGCTACAAAAGGCCCTGACATAAAAAATATGAAACAATTCAATTAAGAAAACTAACAGCCTAATTAATAACATAACAATTAACGAAAAACAAATATGACAGACATGAATGAAACAACGACAAGCAGTGAACTGCAGGCACCTGACTTGGGAAAGGCACATACAGAATGTGGCGGGGTTGAACATGTTTGTAAGCGTTCAACCCTCCCCTAACATATACCTATTAATTAATACCTAAATTGGTTTTCTTTGTGTTATCCGAACGTTTATATTACAGGCTTTTTTTATCTGAAACTAAGATTTCAACTCCCGCATGAAAATTTGACATGAAAAGGTTCTGGCTATTTGTTTTAGATACCTCTTGGTAATATAGCTCGTCAATTATTTATACATTCCTAGTTTTCAAGTTTTCGGATTTGTGTGTTCATGAAGAAGTTTACTCCAGAAAAGAGCATCGAATGCCCCAAATTTAAAAAGAGTTATTTTCTTTTTCGAACACTGGGTCGAAAGTACTGCTGGTGGACTTGTAGTTTCCGAGTATATTATCAGCCTAGAAATCATCGCCTTGCCATGAAATTGATTTAAAATTTACATTTCTAAAAGATATCTGTAAATAAATAAAGAAATTATGTTAAACTAAAGTTTTAAATCCGTCAGGCAGAGTTGACCATAGATGGTTTTTGCTATTCGTGTTATGTCCTTTTTGGTGCGTTTAGCTTGTCTGCTATTTACACATCATTGGCTTTCAAATTTTATTATTTGAGCGTTCCGAACGAAGGACAATTAAAGTTCTTCGAACTCACCAAATTAGATACGTGTTATTTTCATTCTCATATAATATTTCAAAATTTATTTTCCGTTATGTTGTTTTTTAAAATTATTTGGACTTTCAAATGTTTGTTCTCTGTTATCTTGCGAAGGATACTTCTGAAACCAAGGGCTTGATTTCGGTACCACAAGTTTCCAATGCTACCACTGAGTCGGTGCAGTTGCCGATGATATGTCCTTACCCGGGGATGCCACCTGCTCAAAGCTAATCTTAGCATGAATACAGTTTGCCTGAAATGTTTAATAGATAAATAAGATAATGAATAGGGAGATAACTCTTACAAAGATAATTGTTCGGCTTAGCAGGGTGAAATTTGAAAGCGCATACACTGTACAATACAATGTAAGAAATATCTAAGCGACATATCGCAAGAACAAAATTTGGCGGAGGAAAAAAAAAATAATAATCAGAACAAATACAATAGGTCTTTCCACAGAGAAGTGGAAAGACCTAATAATCACAACAAATACAATAGGTCTTTCCACTGAAAAGTGGAAAGACCTAATAATAATAATAATAATTAAAAACCAATTGTTCAAAGAACAATTGAAGGTCTTTCCACATCAATTTTCAAAGTTATTGGAAAGAAGCTAGTTCCAGTTTACTCAAAGTTAAAATTGATATCCAATCATAAATTTCTTCAAACTGATGCGATAATAGAATGGTTTCTATATACTTTCGAGTGAAATAAGGGAAATAATATGCTACTTCCGGTGAAGTAAACGTCACTTCCGGTCTCAATTGATAGCTTCTTTTACACTGATTCCAAAAATATATAGTTTCTCTATACTTTTGCATGTAAAACAGGAGATAAGGGGCCACTTCCGGTTTATCAAAAGTCACTTCTGGTCTTTTGTGATTAGTTTATGTATTTATATTACAAAATATATGGATTCTGAGTACTTTTCCATGAAAAAGTGCAAAAAAGGCTACTTCCGGTTTTCTCAAGATCACTTCCGGTTGTTATTTTTCAAGGTCATATGTCACCCAACCTTTTTTTCAAAGGTCATATGGCTTTATAATGAACCAAGTTGAAGTACTAATCAATTAACCTTACAATGGGACATTTCAGGGGCACTAACTCCTATAAGATGCCATTAGATTGTTTCAAACCAAATGTAACATATCTTCATTACAATAAAGCAAACATTTTGCACTTGTTTTTTCATATATATCTTTAAAAGTGTTGGAGAAAATGCAAAAACAAGGAAAAGTCAAAATTGAGAACTTGACCTTTGACCTTGACTTCATTTGTTAAGTTAGGACCTACGGGCCTCAAATGAAAAGATTCCAGGGTTATACGGTTAAAGGTTTATGAGTTAAAAAACATACCGACAAATTATTTTGGTAAAGGTAGATAACTCCTATAAAATTTCATCGAATCGCTTCGATATAAATAAGATAATCGTACTTAAACCAATAGGTGCAATAAAAAAAAATAAAGAGGAATGCACTATGCACTTGTCTAAAGACGATACACAAACAGAGGTCCCCAAAATATGTGGAAGACAAATATAACAGAATTTGTTCCTTACAGAATTAAGAGTATAGAATATTTGTTTCAACAGGAACAGGTATAATGGCATTGTTTCCAGAAGAACTTCTGTTAGGAACAAATACATGTTGACAAATCAAGTGTTACTTTTGTTGTAAATAAGGTGAAAATTCGGGTTTAAAAGTAGGGGTTTTATCGGAATTTAATTCTAGGATTGACATTTTTTCGACATCCTGGAATTTTGACAATCACTTGCAGTCAAATAAGGCTTTTCTGAGATGACAAAATCTTAGGTTAATAATACTAGAATTCGGTGGATGGTCATTTGATTTTCGGGTAAGTAGGTAGGATGATTTTGGAAATGGATATGCTTGCCAAGTAGGAAATGAAAAAAAATAATCTTGCCCACCACAGGATATAAATGATTATTCTGCCTAGCCAAATGTATGACAGAATTGTGTAAAAAAATGCCCTTATTTGCAGCACTGTGCAGGAAGAAGTTTTTGGATATTAAACTATTGACTATTTACTACAAAATGATTTGATGTGTTTGAGCTTTTGATTTTGCCATTTGATAAGGGATTTTCCGTTTTGAATTTTCCTTGGAGTTCGGTATTTTGTTATACCTTTTGATATATAGTTTAATTATGATAGCTCACAAACTAAATAGATTTTATTTCAAATCAAAATCTAATTTCTAGTATACTTGACAATAATTAAATGTTTTTAATGGATTTACCCGGTGGTACTCCCAGTGAAGATTTGATATTTTGTCTTAGCATTTTTAAAATATATCTCTGTGCAACAGTTTAATAAGATCAAGTAATTTCAGTACGGATTTTTCTAAATCATCTTGAGAACGACTGTTATTTTCTCGTAGACGATCCACATCATTCTTCAATGACCGCAGTCGATCCACATCATTCTGTAATGACCGCAGACGAGCCACCTCATTCTGCAATGACCGCAGACCAGCCACCTCATACTGCAACGACCGAATCTGATTTACGGATTCTTTGTTTTTATTTTCAAGGTCATGGAATTCCGGAAACAATTCCAACACCGAATGTTGGGTTAATCCGTACGACAGAACAGAATATTTGAACATCAAAAGAACAACACACACAAGATACATTTTCCACATTTTCTGCAAATAGAATAAAATATTTTTTTTTTAATAAATAACGGATATGAAATAAATTTTGCATATGAGAACTTTCGTGTAAATTTGTTCTTTTTTTTTTTTGGTTCATACATCAGAATAGACTATTTTCATAATACCGATTTTTGACTCCGGATTATATAATTTGTCGACTGGTTACCTTGGACATCATGTTACTCGGTCAAGTAAGAGCAACCAAAATAAGTAAAATCAAACTTATAATCGGTGTAATTTGAGAGGAAAGTTTACTGTTTTCCGATGATTTTGTTGTGAAAAAAAAATGTTAAGCAGGTAATTTTCCCCAAAAATTGTACCGATTGAAAGCTTGGTTTTACTTCTTTAGCTTGCTCTTACCTGACTTGGTACCATGATGTCCAAGGTAACCAGTCGACAAATTATATAATCCGGAGTCAAAAGTCGGTAATATGAAAATAGTCTATTACTATATATACCCTATTGTGTTTGCAGTTCTATTCATTCCTTCTCCGTCTGTTGCCTTTATCTGATTTTGACAATTAATTTTATCCCTAAAATATAATATGTGTCAGTTAAGTTGACTTCCTATTGATTTGGTTGTTATGCTTACTCTGTTAATCATCTGTTAATAATTGTCTGTTCATATAGCCTATAAGACGTATTTTGGTCACGCATTTTCCAGAAACGAGTCTATTTTCAAAATATTTTAAAAGTGGTTACAAGGGATATGCTGCTTTTATAGGTATCCTCCATTTTTTCATCATGAAATATAAGGTATAAAAACTGAGATGTGCAAGAATTCTTTGTGGTATTAATATAATGTTAACAAAACAAAATTCTTCGCAGGATTTTTTAACCTGGCTGATATCTCTTTTATTCAACCTTTTAAGTATATTCTGGATTTTGAAAAAATGATAGCCAATGTATTTATCATGGTATTTTCTTTTATCTAATGAATAGACTAAGCTTCCATTTTTCTATACCGCCGCAGCGTTGTATGCACATTGATAGGCTCATTTTACTCTCTCTGCCTATGTATTTTTCAAGACGTATATGCGTTTTGTAACATTCACAGAGACGCTTGATCATTTGTGCAATGCATTTTATAAGTTACATTTGTTTCTGCTAAAGTATTGATACTGAAAGAATAATGGATTTACCATAACAATTCTAATTGATATTCGATGTAATCAAACAGATGTGTCATGTTATAATGGGTTATTTGCGGAATACAATAGTCTTAAGGTTTCTCACCCTTCTCTAGATTATTCACTTGTTTTTCCATGTAGTGCTAGCATTTAATATTTACAAAATGTCCCAAACAACCTTTACAATCCAAAAGACCTTGTACTGAGTCACTAAGGTTGAGCGCGTCATGAAAGTGTGATAAGTCCATATTTGTATAAAAATAAGGAGGTGATGTATGATTTCCAACAACTATCCACCAAAGTTCAAATAAAGTGGATGTAAGCAATTACAGGCAACCATAAGGCCTTCAACAATGAGAAAAACCCTATACGTATAGTCGGCTATAAAAGGCCCCGACATGAAAATTATGAAACAATTCAATTGAGAAAACTAACGGCCTAATTTATAACAAGGAGTTAGTCCAGTAAGACCCTTTTTTGGCCCCAAAATATATCAGTTTTACAAAATTGTTAACATGTAAATGTTTAGCAATTTATTAGAAAGAAGAATACTTCTGTTACATACATATGGGCTGTTTTTGACAATACCATGCACATGTATCGGGTAATTTTAGCATTTCGGTTAATTTTAGACGGTTTCCGTCTGAAGTGGAAGTGGCCGCATTTGTGTTCATTCTTAATATTTAAATGTAAGTTGTATTTGATGATAATACATAACATATATAAAGATTTTTTTTTTTTTTCGTTTACAGAAAAATGATGAATTCTAAAGCCCTCCTCTAAAGCCCTCCTCCGGATGAAAAGATCTTGTATTAGCATTATTTTTTTATTTCTGTTATTTTGACTTTATTGATCTTCTGAGTTTTCGATTTGGATTACCAAATTTTAGTTTTAGCGCCATTTTGGTGAGAAATATTATATATGAAATACACATGTTGTGCAACAAGTTTGTACCAGTATCTTGTTACTAAATATTGTGAGTTCAATACTAAGGCCCTTTTCCGGATGAACAGGTATTGTTTTAATATTATTATTTTTTCTGTTATTTTGACTTTATTGACCTTCTGAGTTTTACATTTTCGGATTTCCAAATTTTAGTTTAAGCGCCATTTTGATGAGAAATATAATATTTGAAATACACATGTTGTGCATAAAGTTTGTACCAGTATCTTGTTACTAAATATTGTGGGTTTGAATCCCGCTCATAGCATTTGACTATGATTGTCAGTCTCTTGGCTAAGGTCAACTGTTCTTTTCGGGTACTCCGGTTTCCTTTATCAATAAAAACTGCACGTCATGATACAGCGTATGTGAAAGTGGTGTTAAAAACCAACAGTTACTTTGTAATATCAGAAGGAGTAAACAGTTGAATTTCACCTTTACTTATCTCAAATTTGTATAAAAAAATGTCCACTTTCATAGAGTCAAACTTTCCGGAATAATTTTCAAACATAATTTATTGTTCCTAGAATCTTAATCTTGTTGTTTTTTAGGGAACCACTACATGCTGCACTGTTGAGTTTTGTTTTAGTAACATGCACAGTTAGTGTAACATCCTTAATGCTATTTGTTCATCAAAACTCGCTTTTTTTATTTGAGACATGACCTTGCAGTGATAATCAAATTCCTTCACAGTCTGAAAAAACTAACTTAAGTTTTGATTTATTATAATTTTATCATACGACGGTACCAAGTTAACTGTCTACTTTCTAAATTTGTCGTTTATATATGAATTTTTCAAAAATAAGATCGTTTGTGTATTGTCAGTCTTAAAACATCTGTATGCTTTTTTAAATATTATACAGACTTACCTTAGACTCTTATGAATTACAAAACGTATTATCTTGCAATTCAAATGCAGTATTTAGATATGTTGTGCTTTATACTGTAGAGGACACGTTATTAAAATGTTCATCCTAATACGATCAGTTTTATGAACCCACACGTGTGTCACACTGCGAACTAATTTTAGTCACTTAAGTCCGGTAGTCAGCACTTCTGTGAAGACATGAATTGTTATTGATATGGTCAAATTTTATAAATAAACTGTTTACTAAACTTTAATTTTTCGAAGTAGGATGTTCTACCCAAGGAAAAGATTACCTTACCTATATCGGACAAAACCTTTCGCAATGTTGGGTCCTCACTGCTCTTAAACTTCATACTTTATTTGGCTTTTTAACTCATTTGATTCGAGTGACACTGATGAGTCCTTTGTAAACGAAACTCACGTCTGGCGTACAAAATCTTAATCCTGGTACCTTTAGTGAGTTTATTAGTAAATATCAGTGACTATACTGCAAAATCAGATTTTTTTAATTGCACCTCTATAGTTTTATGTGTTACGTTATGAATATTGCGACATCTCTCCTGTTTACTTTTGAATCAAGGTTTATTATTCAAATAGCCTCAAAATCAATATTTACATCTAAAACAAGTAATAGCTTTTCTAAAAAAAAGCTAGTCGTCTCATAGCTGATGAAAGTGGAAAATATTTTCGCTTTGTAGTTTAATTCATTCAGAACAGCCTTGTATATAAATTGTAGTGGATTACAAAAAAATTTAATTTACCAATTCCTTTTTTATGGGGAATGTATTAGGGGAATGTATTAACAATTGAAAGCGAGTGGTTATCCTTACAATTAAATGTTTCTTTTTTCAGATTATTTGGTTTTATTGGACTTCTTGAATATACTTTTTGAGAAAAAAAAATAAGAAGGGTAATTTCTTATATAAGACCTATTTTAAGCGTCTGAAATTCAAAACATAGTAGTTTCGCCATTCTTTTTCAAATTATAATAGTGTCATTGGTTATAAAGTAGGTGATAAGTTCTGCAATGCTATTTTAGATTTCACTATGAGGTCATCAACATAACAGAATCAAAAACTTTATTAAGCATACAATTTGATACTGTATGGTTTGTTATTATTTCACTTGTAAATGTCTTCATATTGATTTACTATACCATTCAATGTTTGGTGACGAATAAGGCCTTTATCATACTTACCCTTAAAAGCTTGACATACTGGATTAACATAATCTTTTGTGGGAGACAGTTCGTATGTTGACATATAAATGCCTTTTTGTTTTATGGTCATAGAACTTATGTAAGTTTATACTTGTTTTACAATTCTTGTAGAAAACATACAATTAAGAATAATCTTTTAAAATGTCAACAGTATTTTCGTCTTTTAAATTTATAATTTTCTTTTATTTCTTGTTCTCTCATATAGCATGTATAGTATAAGTAGTCAATAAACCTCCCAAAAAAATATTAGAAGTTTGTTCCTGACACTGCTCATTGTTTTAAGTAATATCTGAATTCATTTTTTGCTATAAGATTATTTTTTACATGTATTAACAACTATTCTATATATTATAGCTAGACTTGGGAGGATAAAAAACTTAAAATATTGTAATGACATGTCCATTGAAGAAGACTGTAGATTGAAATTTAGAAGTAAATTGTTTTGTTTGTTGTTTAATTGGGTTGCTGTCTAAATTAAGTATGTATACTTAACATCTCCATTAAAATCATTCATAGAAATTAAACATTGCTTAAAATATATCAGCATACATGTATAATTGCTTTTATCGTCTGAGAGTAGTTTTTATTTTATTCTTCTTACATTCCCCTTTAGCATGTTTAGATATTTCTTTACTCTTCTGTTCTTTGAAACGTCTGCTATATAGGAAGTTCTAGGGAGAGAAAGACAACATCCAACACAGCCCAACTGATCATATATACTGTGTATATATGTCTCTAAAATCACTGTCGTAAATGTTTAAGATATTTGTCAAAACTATTTATCTCCCCATGAAACAGCGTAACAATGATAGATATATGTAGGTATACTTATTGTAAAACAAGTTGCTTTCTTTAAAAAAAGAAAAGCAAAACGTGAACCCGAGACCGCTGACTTGTCACCAAATACTTTTTGCTGAATTTATTTTTGCTTTTGCCGGATTTGAAATAATTAATTGACTGTTAATAGAATGCGGTAATGAAGATATTAAAACACCTTTATTGAAAATATGTTATTGTGTGTAGATTCTTGCACAAGTCAATTAAAATCACTGTTGGATTTTAGTTGTAAATAGAAAATTGTATACAGCTACCATTTGAAATTACCTTTTATGGCTTGCCTATTTTATTCATTACTTGTGAGTGTATATCATTTTTCTCCGTGTTTTATGTACAAAGACTTAATCCTGTTGCAATTCTCATTTTTTTGCAAACCGGATGTCTAAAGCAAATTACACAGACCAATCAAGACATCACTCAGTTTGCTATATAATTTGGATGCGTTTATTTTATCTTTCATATCTTCATATTTTGTTTCCTTCATGTTTTAAATTATTCTGATACTCATTGAATCTGTTTGTCCTCGTCAAAGAGGTGGTATAGAGAAATTTAAAGTCCAATTTCCATGTGAAGTGTAACTCTGTGACACAAATTATAAGAAGATTTCGTATTTTGTTCTTAAGAGTAACACACCAGATTTATTAGGACCTCTTATATACTGACAATTATTATGGTCAGATAAAACATTTCAAATTTTAAGGATTTCCTGAAGTAACTTAAATCAATTAAAAAATTCGACAGAAAAACTTAGTTTTGAAAAATATCTTGTTTTCATAAGTCTTGTGAATACCCGAACATGCACTCAAAAGAACTAGTTTATATAAAAAGTTTACTAGAACACACCCGCGAAATCGCGAGTATTTAGAGCTTGGTTGAAAGTATGTAAACTGGTATAGGATGAATTTTTGTAAAAGAATTTATGTCTCGAGAATTTCAGAAAAGGTATCAAACTGAGTCATAGGCACTTGGAGACAGGACAATTATTTTTAGCCCTCTCCCTTTTTTCCAAAGTCCGTTATTTTTTTGCTCTCTGTTAAATTCCATTATTTTTGCGTTTCTATATACTATGAACATAGATCTACATATAATATAAATAAAATGTATTTGCTATTAACTATCAATTTTAAGTTTCTTCACCACGGCGATCACTGCTATATTATATAGAGAGTCTTTATATATCATAGGATTATAATCATAGTATACATGCAGAATAACGCGAAAATAATTGTCCTGTCCCCGAGTAAAAGTAAAGGGGGGTATCTGCACGGAAGAACGCGAAATAAAATTGTCATTTGACGATGAACGCACAATTAAAAATGCCTTGCACGTTGATCTTTTTATCGATTTCAAGAAACACGGTGAATAGCGAACCTTTTTCACGGCTGCACGTGAAATAAAAAGTGGCAAAACACGTTGCGCGAAAGAAAAACCCTTTACCCCCTCTTTTAAAGTTTAAAATCGAAAGTCTTGGGTATGACTTAAAAGTCGGTCTGATGACGGAAACAATATCCGGACGCATTTTTCTTCGTTTTTCTCCCAAAATAACCCAAACTGAATAATCATAAGAATGGATGAGAAATGCGACTATGCATGGTACCTATAGGACACAGAGGCATGATGATTAATTTATTGGGAAAGGAAGAGAAGCGACACACAAAATGAGGTCTTCTCGTTTAATAGTATAGATATTTGGTAAAAAACAATAAACTCATCATGGACACGTGGCCAGGATTAAAGTTTTGTACGCCAGACGCGCGTTTCGACTACAAAAGACTTATCAGTGACGCTTGAATCAAAAAAGTAAAAAAAGGCCAAATGTAGAACAAAGTTTAGGAGCATTGAGGACCCAAAATTCCGAATGGTTTTCCCAAATACGGCAAAGGTTATCTATTTCTCGGGTTATCCTTATTATTTCGAAAATTTCGAAGTTTATGAAAGGACAGTCCCTCAAAAAGAAAGAAAAAGATTAGAAAAACAACTAGATGTCAGAGTACCTCATCATGCTTCAAAATCACATGTCAAGCTCTTACTGCCGTGTCCTAGATTTAAATAACAAATGCAAAAAATTACCTACCACGAATGAAATCAATGTTTACGCATGCACGTAGTTTTCTTGCGCAGGAAATAGTAAATGGCAAGCAAACGCACTGACATTCTAGATCAGAATATGTATTTGCGTCATCACGTATATTTATTCTAGGTTCAGATCTAATGTTAATTGAATTCGAATGTCAAACTGCCTACCTCAAGTGGTTTGACTCCGGATTCATTGCAATTCAATCCGGAATTTGTGTCACCGCAAACCGATATTGTTGTCAAACCAGATTTTAAATCCGATTTTGTTGTGTCGTGTGAACAGGGGGTGTAATAATAATTGTAATATCATGTAAATAAACGGCAAGACGTGTGTGGGGTAGGTGGTCAACACAATTACAGTTTTCAAAATCGCACAATCAATGCAAAGATTAAGATGCTATAAGGTTGAACTATTTAAAACAAAAACAAAAAGAATTAAAATTTAGTTAACATACATTCCTAGATGTAAATAAATCTTTTCCAGAAATTTAAAATACACTATCTATAAACACAAACGTCAAGTATTTACTAATGACAATTTTTTTTTATCAAATCAATCTCTTCTTCAAGTCTAACTTTCTATTATATTTCTATACAAAATATAAGCAGAGACTTACTTATAAAACCATACGTAAATGGTATAAAATTAGTAACGTAAACGTAGTAATTATGATTATTGTAAAATATTAATTACGTTTTTTGTGAAATGCAAGAATTCAAAATTCTTGTGAATTATTTTTTCATTCACTACAGTTTAAACATTAGATACTAATTTATTTGTGTTCACTCCTGATAATTGGTACTCATATGTTGCATATGATTTTCATAAATGTATTCACTGTTAAAACCCGCGGGACGATAATATGAAATTTTTAATTATATTCTAATAATAAATTTAATTTCAGTTTAAACTTTAATAATTTTAATGATTATTCCCCTGGTATGTTAGTTTCTATTAATGAAAATAACTATTTTAGATAGAATATCGTTTTGTTTAATTGTCT